GGGAAAGACATTCTAAAGAATGTTATTAGTTTAATTACACAGAAGCGGAATTAATTCATAAAAGGCTCGTTTTTCCGTGGTAGTATTTGTGTAAGAAATTATTGCAATGGAACGTGGATGAATATCAAATGATATTGAATGCGGAGGGTAGAAAAGAAGCAGTCGTTCTTCACCAGGAATGCGAAAATTAATTGAAATGAACGTACAAGAATAACAGTCTTATAACTACCGAATTAATAATGAAAATCGGTATTTACTCCGATTTACACCATCAACGTGGTCAGCTTCCGTTTCTTGCAGTCAGCTGCTTAATCAGAGTGAATCAATGCATTGGTAGAAATTTGCTCGTACGTAACTTGCGCGATCAAAAATCCACAATGTTTCGAGAAATAGATTCTCAATCGTTCGTTTCAGTTTTCCTTCCTGTCCTCGTCGAGAGGGTTACAAGATGCAGAGCTAACGTCGAGTCGTGTGGTTGTGCTACGAATTTTACGGCTTGTCGCCTCGTTCATCCGCGGCTGCCAGTTAACTTTTATCTGCGATCACACAGGCTCCCCTGGATCATAAATCATCAATCGTAACTTGTAATGGTCTAGGCATTAGCGGATGGAATTTTGTTGCAGAGGACGCTGCGTTTATTTATCGGCCGTAACTCGTTCGTGGTCTTTTGCTCGACAAATATGAATTATCGCTATATGTACACAACGTCTTTCTTTTTTCCGTTCGACTCCAATTTGCGTTGAGTCCCAGCGTGAGCGATTCATAATCGGAAGAATTTTAAGAAAGAAAAAAAAGAAAAAAAAAAGAAAATGAGAAAAAAATGTCAAGAACAATGACTATACTTGATACGCGTAGCAAACATGGCGACCATTTCTTTCCGTGCGGCGGAAACGAGTTTCAGCCGCATTTCTCTCTACCGGGTGGCGGTCGCTCGCGCCGTAAACGCGATCACGGTAAATTTATGGTAATTGTCTCCCCGTGCCGGGAGAGACGTTTCGCCTTTTCCCCGTCGTTTCCCGCCACCGAAGTTGCTCTGACCTCGTAACTAACCGCAAACGAGCCTCAATAATGCCTGATTGCCACCCGATTAGGCATTAAAGTTTCTCGAAGACTGTCTCCACTGGAAACACGCGGTCTCGGTGCTCGATACGACGAACCGGAAGTCATCGGGATCTTTACTCGGTCCCCGAGACGATTTTCCGGTTCCATCGCGGCCGACGATCACGATTTTTCGATTGAGCGATTAACCTCCGGTGTGACTAGCCTGCTGCTCGGTGAAACGAAGACGAAGAAAGAAAGGAAAGAATAACTATACATATTTCACGTTTAGCAACCTAATAGATAGGAATTGGAACGCGGCACAAGGGAAAACGCAGCGCTCGTTTGACCAAAAATTCGCCCCCGGGATTATCATCTCGCGATGGAATGGGGCCGCCTCCTCGCGCGCGATGTGTCCCCTTCTTTTTCCATTTAGTGTAATTGAATGTTCCGCGAGTCGAGCGTTCGCATAACTTTGCGCCAGATTTATCTCGGGGAAAAGAAAGAGATCGGCGCGAGATTTCACGCGGACGGCCAGCGATTGGAGCAAAACCGACGAGTCAAGGAGCGAACGTGGAAAAGGCAGCCACGCTTATCTAGCAATTAGTCGGTACCGATAATTACCGCTCGTGAACTGATCTTCCAGATATACGTGTGTTAGTTCGGAAATCCACTGATTTCACTTTGATGATTGTGTACAGGTTACTTCTTGCGTGGAACTTCGAGTGACCATTTTGTCAATTAGATCACAGAAGATGTCAATCATACGAGTAGACAATCTTAAATTTCGGTATTTTATATTGTATTTATAAAACTGTGCCTCTAATACCTTTTACTGATGGTTTTGGTGACGTTATGAGATATATTGGTTTATAAGAGGCGGACGCAAAATGGCACTTTAGGTCCTTCAGCATTCCACTTCGACACCTCATCGGGCGTGAAATTTTGTTTCTAATCTTATTTAAATTTTAGCTTACATGTAATGTGGGTAGGAAGAATAATGGCCACGATGGTATCGTTAGATCTATAAATAATCAAGATTACCTACCATTTTTCTCGAGGTCTGAAATTTCTCTCCAATGAAGGATGTTTGAATTTTCATTTCAAGCCTGTCAGTGTTGACTGTTTCGTTTGCAGAACGATCCACGTGTCCAACTTGCCGTAAAATGACCATTTTTTAAGCCTACCGGGGTCCTCTGTTCACGCGCGCCGCAAAACGGTTCCGAGTCGTGCCGTTCCGCCGGTCTCGCGAGTTTCGCTCGACAAAAGCGTAATTACTCGGAATGGGCTAATGGTAATTGCTCGTGACTTAACTACAATGGTAATTCACTTTCGTAATATCAATTCCCCGTAAACAGTGTCTCGAAGCCGGTGTAACCGGGCACGATTTCGCTATCACGTTCGTTCCGTTTGCGCAACCTCGA